AAATATAGGAATTTTCTAGTCATAATCTGATACTTCCTACCAAGTAAGTTGCTGCTGTTAAGTGGATTATTTTCTCAGCATACAGATTGAATAGGTATGAAAAAAAGATACGACCCTGGCGCGCACCATTCCTGATCTTAAACCATGAAGTCTTCTCTTTCTCTTTTCACACAATATGTTCTTGATCTTATATTCCATATGAGCCCAATTAAGTGTTCTGAGATTCCCATTCTTCTCAAAGTGAACCATAATTTATTATGATCCATGTAGTCAAATGCCTTTGTATAATCAATAAAACACAAATATACAACCTTTTGGTATTCTCTGTTTTCATTCAGGATCCATTGGATATTAGCAATGATATCCTTGATTCCACAGCCTCTTTAAAAGCACCTTATACTTTTGAAGTAGGATTATTCAAATAATAGGTTTATGACCCATCCAAGTTTATTGACTGGCTTGTTAAAAATGCAAATAATATACATAGTTTGTATGACATCATGAAAATAAGGTGTATTAAATTCTGTAGGAGTTGATCATTTTTGCTACCTCACTAAGCTTAAAAGAAAGCTAACACTAAAGAAAGAAGAGAAAAAAAAACACCACCCCACCTAATTCTCAACCAGAAAGAAGAGATGAGAACAGACCATGGGTTTTTTGGGCACAGAGTTCCTGTCCTAGAAACCTCCTAGACACAAATGACACACAGTTGTAACACTGGAGATAGCAAGAAATAGTAAGAAGAATAAGCAGAGAAATATCTGCACCAGAGGCAACAGAACCAGTAGATGGCATAGTGGGCTTCATGGCTCAGGGAGCAAGAAAGCTTAATGACTATGAATGTGGCTTAATAGCAGTGTAAGGTACTTTGGGGCACTTGTAGATAAATGTAGAATTGTCAACCCAAGGAGTCAAAGCTGAATGTCTGTGGACTGAAGCTTATACACAATGTAGGGTACTTTGGGCACTTATCATGAGATGAAGGAGCTTTGAAGCACTTATCCAAGTAGGGCAGATATAAGACTAACATAAGACTTCTGTGGGAGCTAAGGGCCAAGAGACACGGCCAGAAATAAGTGTGAAGTCAAACACAGCTGAAAAGTTGGATTGGCAAAAATTCTATATCCTTCCTGATATTAACTGTAAACTTGTACCTCCTTAATTAATTCAAAAACAGTGAGTATTGTCTGTAAGTCCTGAGTGGCCAACACAGTGAATTGTAGAACCCAGAAGAATAGAGGGACACCTAGTGTCACAACTGGTAAAATTGTTGAAGAGGGGAGTCATGTCTGGCTTCTGTCGCGCAAGGATCTGCTTTAGCTTTGATCCTGATTCTCTCCCACTTTTGAAGTTAAAGAAGTCAAGGCTCATAACCTGATAATTTTGCAATATAACTATTAACTAACAATGATTCTCCAAACGCTAACCCTAACCCAACCCCTAATGCTAACCCTAACAAATGTATGGTTACTTCATTTGTTTATCAATGTTATGTGTTACAACTTTCCTGAATTTGGATAATTACTTTTTGTACTGGTGTGTGTGTGTGTGTATATGTGCACGTGCTATTCACAATATAATAGGTGTAAGACAGACCTAATTTTAGATTAAACTGCATTAACATTTCTTATAGTGACAATCAATAGAACCAATAAATCAAGCCATGCTGTTGTTGTTAAGTACTTCTGATTCCACTACAACCCACAGTGACCCGATGAGCAGTGGATCTAAACCCTGTCTTGTGCTATTCTAAGTATCTCTGACATACTTGAGCCAACCATTAGAGTCACTGTGTCAATCCATCTCATTGAGGGTCTTCCCCTCCTTCCCTGACCCTCCTACTTTCATTTGCCAGCTTCTTTGGCTATTTTCAAGCTATATGCATAAGTGGAAAGACATTTTTAGAAATACCCCATCACAAGAGCACATACAGTAATGTAAATAACCTCAGAAGCACAGTAAAATGTAAAAAAATATGAGAAAATGGGAGAGTTTGTGTAATTATCGCTGCTTAACAAATGCCTTGTGAAATTCCTGTAAAGTTAACAATTAAACTACTACTCCAAGCTAACTCCAGTTGACTACTTTGTCTTAATTACCGAGTGCTGTAATAATAGAAGTATCACAAGTGGACGACTTTAACAAACAGAAATTTATTCTCTCACATTTTAAAAGGCTAGAAGTCTGAATTCAGGGTGTCAGTTATAGGGAAAAGCGTTCTTTCTGTGTCACTACACAGGGATCCTGGCTCCTGACTCCTTTTTCTTGGTAGTACTGAGCTCTTTATTTTATTTGCTTCTCTCTCCTTTTATCACTTATACTTGGACAAGAGGCAGTCATCAGAACAGAGCAAGGAAACACTGCAGAGTTCAAAATTGGGAAAAGCGTATGCCACGGATGTGTCCTATCTCCATACCTTTTCAACTTGTATGCAGAACAGATTATCTGAGAGGCTGGACTCTATGAGGAGAAGTGTAGTGTCAGGAAAATCTATTAACAATCTGCATTATGCAGATGACACAACCCTGCTTGCTGAAACTGAGGAGGACCTGAAATGCTTGCTGCATAGGGTCAAGGACTGCAGCCTTCAGTATGGATTGAGGCTCAATGTCAAGAAGACAAAGATTCTCACCACTGGACCAATTGGCAGCATCAGGATGGATGGTGAAGAGATTGAGATTGTTAACAACTTTAGTCTGCTTGGCTCCACGGTCAACACTCTTGGCACCAGCAGCCAGGAAATCAAAAAACATATTGCGATGGAAAAGTCTGCTGTTAGGGACCTCTCCAGGTACCAAAGAACAATGGTGTCTCTCTGGAGACTAAGGTGTGTCTGATACAGGCCATGGTCTTTGCAATCATTTGTTATGTATCAGAGAGTTGAACAACGACTAAGGAGGATAGAAGGAGAATTGATGCCTTTAACCTGTGGTGCTGGAGAAGAGTATTGAAAGTATCTGGGACTGCCAAGAAAACAAACAGATTCATCCTGGAGAAGGTTAAAACAGGCTGCTCCTTGGAGGCAAGGATTCTGAAGCTTCATCTGACATACTCTGGGCATGTTGTAAGGAGAGACAGGTCCTTGGAGAGAGACATCATGCTTGGGATGGTGGAGGGACGGCGCAGAAGGGGAAGACCCTCTATGAGATGGATTGATTCAGTGACTGGGGTAATCAGGATGGGTGTGTCAGAGGCAGTGAGATCTGCACAGGATAGAGCATGGTTTAGGGCTCTTATACATAGGGTTGCTATGAGTTGCAAGCAACTCGACGGCACATAACAACAACTCCTTTCATCTCTAACAAAATAATATGTCTCTGTCTCTGTCTCTCTCTCCCCCAAATAATATGTCTCTGTCTCTGTCTCTCTCTCCCCCTCCCTCTCTCTCCCTCTCCTTTTCCCTCTCTCTTCTTTTTTCTCTCCTTCTCTTCCTTCCTTAACCCCTCCCTCCCCTCCTTCTTTCTTTCTTTCTTCCCCCCACTATCCTTTCCTTTTATTTCTTGTTAGTTAAAAGATGATGCATGCCCTCAGTATAGAGTTGTAATCTGAGTAAACGTGTTGCACTCCACCTTAATCCTACCTCATTAATATAACAAATATTGAATAATCCTCATTAATATATGTTAATGGCTAGCATTGTGCTCATGTGAAACCTATACCTAGACCAAGAGGCTGTTGTGTGAACAGAGCAAGGGAGCACTACATGGTTTAAACTTAAGAAAGGAGTGTGTCAGAGTTGTATTCCCTCTCCATGCCTATTGAATCTATATGCTGAGCTAATTATTTAAGAAGCTGGACTCTATAAAGAAGAATTTGACACCGAGATCAAAGGAAGACTCATCAATAACGTGCATTATGCAGACGACACAGCCTTGCTTGAACCACTGTTGAATAAAATCAGAGAATACAGACTTCAATATGGACTGCATTTCAACATCAAAAAAGCAACATCATTATAGATGGAGAAAAAATTGAAACTTTCAACAACTACATTTTACTTGGATCCACATTCAACATCCTTGGTACCAGAAGTCAGGAAATCAGGAGACGTATTACACTGGGAAAGTCTTCAGTCAGGGACATCTCCAAATTGTTGAGGAGCAGTGATGTCTGTGTGAGGACTAAAGTACATCTGACTGAGGCCATGGTCTTTCTGATAACTTGCTATGTATCTGTGTTCTGGACAATGAATTAGAACAACAGAATAAGAATTGACATCTTTGAGCTGTAGTGTTGGAGAAGAGCATTGAATAGCCCACAGACTGTTAAAAAAAAAAAAACCCAATAGATGTATCTTAGAGACAGTTGAGCCAGAATGCTTCTTGGAGGCAAAGATGATAAAGCTTTGTCTCACCTACTTTGGACATTTTTCTAGGAGAGGCTATTCCTTGGCAGAGGATCGGGAAAGAAGAGGAAGACTCTCAACCAGGTGGATTGATGGACAAAATGAATGCTGCAATGGGCTCTAGTTTGTCTGTTGTTCATAAGTGTCACTATGGTTTGTATTCAACTCAATTGCTCCTCACAAGAACATTAATGCAATATAATCTTGTCTTAGAGGAAGTGAAACCAAGGTGCTTTTAGAGGCAAGGATCATGAAATTTCATCTCACACACTTTGAGGATGTCTTCAGAAGAGGCCTGTCCTTGCAAAAATACACCATGCTGGTAAAGGTAAAGGGTCAGAAAAAGAGAGGAATATCTCAAGGAAATAGACTGGCACAATGATTATAAGAAGGGGACATAGTAAGGATGGCACATTATAGGGCAAGGTTCAGATCTGTTATTCATAGCTGCTATTAACTGTAGTGGACTCCACAGGACTTAACAACAACAAAATTCTTGCTTCATTAACATGTAAAGGTGAGGATTTTCAACGCATCACATAATGGAAGTGAATTAGACAGTATTGAGAACCATAGCCTCATCAGGTTGACACATAATCTGGGAGGCCACAATTTCATCCATGACATCACTTGTTTGTGTGTTTTCCCTTCATAGGTTCTCTTAAGAAGCCAAAAATTACACAGAATTTAACAACAAATATGAATGGCTCCTGTAATATAACTCTCACTTGCTCCATGGAGAAGGAAGGAAAGGATGTGACATACAGATGGAGTCCAATGGGAGTAGAAGGCAATACCCTTAAAGTCTTCCTGATCCCTGAGGACCAAAAGTTGACTTACACATGTACAGCCTGGAACCCTGTTAGCAATAACTCTGACTCCATCTCCATTCAGCATCTCTGTGCAGGTAACTAGTTCTCTCCAGTTCTCTCAGAGGCTACACCCTGAAGAGTTACAAGATGTAAACATGAACTTTGTTCTTTGTGGGATTGTACCTCCTTCTGTCTGTGCTAGATTCTTGAATCTCCTACCTGAAATCCCACTGGAGAAAAGCCCAAAGCATTCTGAGGCAGCCACTGTGTGGTTCTCTGTGTCAATATTTCTAATCCTGGCTTTTCATAGCAGAAAATGCCATTTCCCTAGGAGTTTCAGTATTCCCCAGGAAGAAACCCAAGTGGGATAGTGGCCCAGCCTCTGGGGTCTATTTCCTGGGAAGTCAAGCCTTTCTGTACTTTTTTTTTTTTTTAGGAACTGCAATGAGCTTCCGAACTCGCTGCACTGGGTTGCTGAGTGTGTTAGCTCTCGTCATTTTCCTCATTCTCATTCTATCTGTAGTGTGTTTGTTCAATTTATACAAGAAAAGACAAGGTAGGATTTTACCAGAAGGCAAAATATGGCAACACTCCTTCGTTCCTCCTGGGAACGAAGTAATGCATGTATCCAAGGTGATGTAGAGAAGTCCTTCATTCCTTCAACGAGCCCACCCCACCACCTCACTGCCTCCCAGAAGAATGACCCTGAGAGCTGCATGACATCCCTTCAGTGGTACGCAGACTCTATTTCCAGGATTACCAGTGTGGTGGGTTCATAACATGACTTCTTGTTTAGTCTTGTCATTAATAAATTGTGCTTCTTTGGCAGTGTCCTCATATGTGAAAAATTTGGACTACAGGATCTCCAGGTTCATTTCCAACTCTACTCTTTTTAGAGTATTACTCTTGGACATTTGAAGGCATCCTTTGTGTCATTTAACTCTCTTGGGCACCTCATGGGTATGGAGTCTTGACATATTCCTTGTGTCACATTTAGCTCTCCTGGGTAACTCATTGGTATGGAGTTTCTCAGAAGCACCTTGCGGTAAACATGCCTCACACTTTCCTCTTGTGTATGCATAGAGAAAATTGGCACACGTGACAGAAAACTTTTTGATATTTTAATTGTGATCTAGGCAATGTTCTGATCTTTGAGAAATGAATAGCAACCATCACCGCTGGGAGGTGCCTTTGATCCAGACTCTCTCCTTATACTTACCATGGTGACTGGAAATCCTCTATCCCATTATGTAAGCAAAGCAGGAACCCCTCTCTGACTGGGCCTAGCTTGTGCCTAGATGGACAAATGAACATATACCCTTTCAAAATCACTCTCTTCTGACTGAATAATAAGGTTTCTCTCTTAGAACAGTGCTGCTCAATGATCTCCATTTCATAGCACCTGTTTTTGTTGTTGTTGTTAAACGCCATCGAGTCGCAGGCGACTCATAGCGACCCTATAAAGGAGAGTCCTTAAGTGCCTTTCATCCTCTCTCCAGGTTCATAGGGTTTCCAGAGGCAAGCTGTTATGGAAGTGGATACCACTCCTCCTTCCAAATAGCATCTATTGAAAAGAATTTATCTTTTTGTGACATCCTGGAACAAATTATCAGCACTATTTATGATATGTGTAGGCTGCACATGGCTGAAGATTTCTTGTGACTGGAGGTGACAATGTTGCCTAGCAACCCTGTGATATGCCATAACACATCAGCTGGGAAACTCTGTTCCCATTTAATGTTTGTGAGGAGCCCCGGTGCATGATTTCCACTATTGCACACTGCAGCTTGAAAAAATTAGGAAAATACATTCTTTCCTCAGAGCACAAACAAAATCACTCACTCACTCATTCACTTACTGCCATTGTGTTGAAGCACTTGTAATTGATCCTCTATTGGATTTTCAGGGTATAAATTGCATGGAAGGAGAGATTGCCATCTTTCTCTCAAGGATCTATAAGTGGATTCCAACCACTCTAGACACTCTGCTTTGGGGTTAGCAGCATAACTCCTTGTGAACTAGATTTCAGTCTTCTATGTCCCTTTCCCCAAGAATCTTTAGGTTCAACTAATCCAACCACATATGATAGAATTGTGGTTATTGAACATACATAGAAACCCTCTAAATAGAAAGAGAGAAACTATCTTTCTGTAGAGAGTAGACTGCTGGGGCACTTTTCAGTCTATATTTCATAAACCAAGTAAAGTGGTGTTTTTGTTTTTCTGACCAAAATGTCCTATATTATTCCATACAACTTCATAAGAGGAAAAAGCTATACTTAGTAACTCTCCCCTTCATAAGAAATTCAGCAGTTCTTCAGATACTTCATGGGAACTAGGGCGATAGCCCAACCATCAAAACAAGAGACCTCAAAAATAGCAGAGCCATTCTTCAGAGTGAATGGGAGAGATGATGGGAGAGATGTCAAAACTATCACAGTTGCATTCTATGGAAATGCCACAGTTTTTCTATCTATTCATTCGCTAACAGGAACTTGGGCTGCTTTCATCTTTTTGCTATTGTGTATAATGCTGCAACAAATATGAGTGTGCATACTTCTGTCTATCTAATGGCTCTGGTTTCTTCAGGGTATATTCCCAGTAATAGGATAGTTGGGGCAAATGGTATTTCTATTTCCAACTTTTTGAGAATGTTTCAGACTATCTTTCATAGCAGTTGTAAAATTTTACACTCTAACCAGCAGTGAATGAAATTTACAACCTCTCCACATCCTCACCAGCATTTATTGTTTGCTGCCCTGCTGAAGTTTGCTATTGTTGCTGGGGTGAGATGGTATCTCATTGTTGTCTTAATTTGTATCTGTCTGATAGATAGGTATTTTGAAAAATCCTTCATGTGTTTTTTTTGTTTGTTTGTTTGTTTTTAGCTATCTGAATTTCTTCTTTGGTAAAGTGTCCATGTTGTGATGGGGTTTTTTGCCTCTCTTTGTTGAGAGACTGGAGTGTTCGATAAACTTTAGATATGAGTCCCTTATCAGATGTATCACTGCCAAATATTTTTCCCAATCTGTGTGAATAATACAGAGCACTGAAAAACAATAAACTTGTAAAACACTACACAACATGGCTGAGTCTGAAAGACATTATGATAAAAAAAATCTCAGTCACAAAAGAACAAATGCTGCATAGTTGTAGTATTAGAACTTTGATCATTGACTTTTCTATTCATTGCATTAGCCCCTGCTGGGGGTATGGTCTCCAGCCACCTCAACTGCAGACACATAGTCTTACAAATTGTCAACAGCTATGGGACCAATGTAACATAGAGCAGTTTCCACATTGTAGAGAGATTGTGAAGGGACTGGCAGACTGTGAAGAGACTGCGGCAAAGTGTAACTAGAGAAACACTGGAGATAGAGATGGAGCCACAGTTAAAGGCTTTGCTTCCAGACAACTGAATGAAGAACTGACTTGTAACTGCTATGAGACAAACTTACCAGACAATTAAGGAAAGCAAAAGCTTATTTGTGCTGCTGAAGTGAATGTAGACTTTCATTTGTTGACTGAGAAGCTGTCTGAACTAATTGAGGAATTGTGTCTTTCTATCAGTCTGCCTTGGGCTGCTGTTCACTAAACCTGGACTTTCACTCTGATATCCTTTGTCTCCTTCACACCCCCCAACCTATCTTCCTAATAAGCCAAACAACAATGAATAAAATCTATGAGTCAATTTTCAACAATACTGGACCCAAAGATTCATAGAAATAGGAGCAGGAGCGTGGGTGGTGGCTTGCCTGACCACATAACTATTTGTTTGGTACTATGGATGATAGATGTGGGACAGTTTTCCTTTATAAAGTGGGTAGAAGGCAGACTAGATACTCTGATGTTGCATCTGTTCCCTTTACAACTGACATCAAAATGAGATGAATATGGGGGAGGGGAGAGCAGGGAAAGAATGAACAGATAATGGGCACTACACTGGAATGAGAGAAGGGGATATCTAAAGAAAATGAATGATGAAACATTATGTGTATGGCAATTTACAGTCTGGAAGAAGGCATGTATTACAAAGTGCATTGGAGACGACAGGAAAATGTGTATTAATGAAGGAATGAAAATTCATTCTTTCTGTAAACTTTCACAAAAATCACAATAAAAAATAAATTAGCGCTCCATTTAAAAAAAACTATGAAGGTTCATCCCAGTTCCTCATGCTAGGCTAAGAGAGCCCTGGGGCTCTAGGTGAAACTCAATCCACATCCACACACCCACAAACACATTATCGGTTTATGCAGACATTAAGTCTCCATTGACATTGTAGAATATCTACAGCTGTTGGGGAGATGATGGCCTTTTGTTCCCTGGTAACAGAGTCCACAGTGACTAGATCTGCTTTGACTCTGTCATCCAGATAATAGTATTTCAAATACCTGACCATAATCATTACTCTAACTTATCCACTGCCTTAATCCCAACACCTTCACCAGATATTCTTGTCTAGGCTAATGCTGTTCATTGTTTGTTGTTGTTGTTATTTGGCATCAAGTTGCTTGTGACTCATAGCAACCCTGTATACAAGTCTCTGAACCCTGCTCTGTCCTGAGGAACACGTACCCCCATTACTCCAGTCACTGAGTCAATCCATCTCATCTAGTGTCTTCCTTTCTTTTTTTTTCAGTTTAGAAATAGTATTTATTTGCAGACATAATTAGTGAGGTCAGCATAATGTCAGGTTGAGATATCATGAGTCCAAATCCAGAACTGGTGTTACCATGAGAAACGGGGAGACAGACAGACAGACAGGGCAGACAGACAAACAGGTGGCTGGGCAGAGGCACACCTCAGACATGCACTGATCTGTGCCATGTACCCAAACGTCACCATGAAGCAAGTCACACTTTGTTTTCTGTTAACTGGTCCAGATGAGTCACATTGACACTGCAATCTGTGAAGTGTCCAAAACCACAATGCTATGGAATGATTGCATGGAACACAACGTGAATGAAGAATAAATAATGTGCAACACAATGTATATGAACTTCATAAGCAAACTAATATTTAAAAAAATAAATACATCAAATTATGGAGAGAATGACAGAAAATGTGACATAGAGACACAATGTTAGAAAATCTTATTGGAAAAATGCACTGACAAATTTGTTAACACAGAGTTATAACAACCTTTAAATAATATTTAAAAAGGACACTCCCTGCCACATGCCCAGGGAGAACATGGAGGTCAGCCTGGGAAGGGAGAAGCAGAGACTGAAGTCACACGGCCACAAACCAAGGAAGCCAGGGACTGGCAGAACCACAGGTGCACACCGGCCTCCCTGGAGCCTCCTGGACAGCATACACCGGTGGACACCATGGCTTGGGGTTTGGGGGGGGGGTGTCTTCCTTTCTTGTACTGTCCCTCCATCTGCTCTAAGCATAATGGCCCTCTTCAAGGATTGGTCTCTACTTGCAACATGCCCAAGTATTTCAGATGGAGCTTCAGAATCCTTGATTTCCAGGAATAGCTTAGTTTCACTCTCTTCAAAATGAACCTGTGGTATATTTAATACTCTTCTCCAGAACCACAACTCAAAGGCATCAATTCTTCTTCTGTCATTATCTAGTTTTCTGATACATAACAAGTAATTACAAAGACCATGACCTAGATCAGAAACTCCTTAG